CCATCACCACATCAATACAAGAGACATCAGTCCATCCCAGGTTTGGAGTAGTGAACAGACCAGTCAAGTGCTTCTCCAAAGCCTGCATGGAAGTCCTCCACTTTTGGCCCTTGAGGGCCTTCAGCTTTAGCCTTGCTTTGAGCGCAGCGTGCTTATCTTGATACTGCGCAGTGAGGAGGTTCTCAAGAGTATGTACAAAAGTTACTTTCAACCACTTAGTCAGGTCAATTCTTTCATAACCTGCACTAATAGCTTGAAGTTCTATGAAACTCCGTACGGCGGCTCAATATTTGTGCCCATGATCATGCTTCGGTCTTCCGGTGGTGTTCGCAGTACCTCAAAGTATGAGCGCATGGAGATGATCCAAGAGGTGATATGCTCCTTCCCGTCGTACTTGGTCGGCAGTGTGGCTGTCCTTTTATCTACTATGAGACCGTTGTATTGTACGCCAGTAAGAACTATGGCGTTTGGCGTTGATGTTCCTGCATTTGCGACTAGGACCACCTTAGAACTGTCGGTGCTGCCACTCGAAGAGCTGGCACCGGTTCCTGCGCTCGTCACAGTTCCACGTGCTCTCTGCATGAGGACTGTGTTAGGGTGAGGGACTGGGACTGCAACTGAACAAGGATTAGGAGGACGAGAGGTAGTCAGTTGGGCCTGTTTGAGGCCGACGATCTCAGGCTGCAGCTCTTGGTTCCTCTGCTCTAAAGTTGTCACAAGAGACTCAAGATCTTCCAAGGTCCGCAGTTGAACCAAGACTACTACGACAACAACTAGCTTCTCTTTGAATCGCATCACCAGACTTCGGAACCTCGAGGAGAGCCACTTGGGCAACAATACTTGTGGTTTGGCTGCTGCTTCTGCCTCCCTCTCTCTATGTATCGCATCCTCGTAAAGTTTATGAAAAAACGGTTTTTCGCTCTCGTCCGCTGCGTTCGACATGACCTGCCATTGGGGATATAAAATGCCTGCCATGCTGGAGGATGGGGTGTCTGTAGATCTCTCAAGAGGGGTCCGCTCTTTGCTCACGTTTGAACAAATGTTCCTCTTACCCATCCTCACACTCTCAAACAGAATACCTTCTCTTTCCCTTCTCTCTCCCTTCTCTCTCCCTTCTCTCTCTTTCCGCTTTCTACGCACCCGTCCCAATGTTGGACATAAATAGTTTAGATAAAAGAAAAACAAATAAATCATAAAGAGCAGAAGATAGAACTCCTAGCCGGAGCGACAATTCATTTGGACTTAGAGAATCGCATTCACTGCATCGGGCCTCTATCTGCCTTGGCCTACAACCAGGGCCTATTAGGCTATTTGCTTGTTCAGCCTATGGGACCAGGCCTGGCTTGACCCTACAGGCCGTGTGCTGTTCCAGTCCAGTCTAGTCATGGCCGGTACCATTGTCGGTACCAGGGCAGTCCAATCCAGTTCAGTTAGTCCGCTGGGGGTATACCCCAACTGTTCTCTGTTTTCGAGTCATTCTTCATTCTGCACATTTGGAGTACGTGTGTGTTGAGTCCGCGTCGGAGCTGCGCTGTCCCTTCCATCTCCATCTCCTCCTCCTTCAACCCGTCGTCTTGATCATGATGGACCGCCATCCCGGCGGGTTCGTCACAGTGGTATCGAAGCGGGAACGTTCCCCACTCCCACCCACCACATCCCGTCACCGTGGAAAAGCGGTAAATCCCTCTATCGGGATTTTGGCTGTTTTTGCAGCAAACAGGCGGGAAGAAAGTGCAGCATCAAGGGTGCCACAGGTGGCACGAAAAGAGAGAGCGTTATCACGACGCGTGCATGCAAGCGCCAAGGCCAAGGCTGCCGCACATGCACACGCACGTGCCACGTGCCCTGTTGCCCCCCCCGCCCCGCTCCCGGATTATACATATCCATATCCGGGATGCACGCTGCCGCCAGGGTTTGAACCCGGGCAACTGGCCATACGCGCGCATAGCTCATGCTGTAACACACTGGCCAAACTGTGTTCATGGCTTTGTAGTGTGAAACATTCGTGTTGAACAGTTCCACATGAGCTTCTCCCCCCCCCCCSYCGGCGRGCAACGATCGGGCTGCTTTTTGCCCCCCCCCCCCCCAAGAGGCATCATGGCTGTTATTGCCTGCGCATGTGGCTAACTGCAGTGCCACGTGGCAGCTTGTTGAGGAACTTGAAGACCCCCCTGGCTAGGTGGTTGCACTACAGGCCAATCTGGGTGTCTGATCAAGAGCTCAACACACCCAGATGATGATGATGATGTTGGTTATTATTTTTTGTATTGCTGTACCAGAAGTTTGGCAGCAGTGAAGACCCCCCTGGCTAGAGGGCTGCACGTCAGTGCAATCAGGGTGGCTGATCAAAATCTCAGCCAACCCTTGATTATTTCATTATTATTATTATTATTTTTGCTGCAGCAGCAAGCTGCCAGCGCCTTGCAGGCCAAAATCCTGGGGATCTTGGTGATCTTGTTGCTCTTAGCCAACCAAGAGCCTCATATCATCTCCCTCCACTAACCTACTCCCCTACACCATCTCATCACTTCTTGTACCTCTCCCACTACTCCCTCCCCTCTTACATCTCTCTTCACTTATCCTCTATTTTTTTCTCCCCTCCCCTCCCCACTCACCATCTTCTACTAATCTCTTCTACTCCTCTCATTTTTCTCATCGCTTTCTCTCCCATTCTCCCACCCTACTCTCCCCCTTCCCTCCACCAACCACAACGCAATCATCCCCCACCTCCCCCTTCAATCTTTTTCTCGTTCTCCATCACATTTTCATTCCCCCTCACCCCCAACTTTAAATTTTGTTTGTTTTTTTCTTTTTTGTTAGGCTATTTTCCCGGGCGCCCGGGCTCCCAACTTCTGCGCGGGTACACGCCCGGGTGCCCGGCCAGGCATGACCCCCGGGCAAGGTTTCGAGCAGCCCCAGCGCCAAAAAGAAAAAAGAAAAAAAACAAAAAATTCTGAAAAAAAAAATGTTGTGTAGGATTGAAATGCAAACCACTTTTGGCTGAGGGTCACATTTTAATTCCTCACCGAATCGGAGATAAAAAAAAAATAACAGAATCACACAAAGGCACCCCCCTTTATACCCCTTTAACCCCTTTAAAACCAATTTATACCCCCCTCCCCCCCCTTTGACAGCCAACTCGCTAAAAACGAAATCGGCCCGGATTTCGAGTCCTCTAAGAGAGCGCAGAAAACAAAAAAAACAAAAAAACTTTTTTTTTTTTTTTTTTTTTTTTTTCCGCGCCCGAGTGCCCGGCCGGGCAGGACCGACCGGGCGTGAGAATCTTCCTAGTTTTTTTGTTTTTTTTTTTGATTTAAATTTTCTCTTTTCTCTAAAATTTTGCCTTATGTTATCCCCTTACTTCTTCTCATTTTTCTGATTTACTTTATTTTTATTTTTATTTATTTTAAAAATTTGAATTTTTATACGACACCTCTATATCTGTTTAGGACTTAGTTATTTCATGTCTCTGCGCACATTTTGACCCCATGCGGATTACCGTAACAGAGTGCTGCCGAAATTTTCTTTTTTCTCCCTACTTTCTCCCATCTTACTTAGTTATATTTTTTGTTGGCACACTTCAACCCCATGGGGGTAATGAAATGCTGCCGAAATTTTTGAAAAATCCAACACTAGTTTCACTTCACTCTCCTCCACCTCCTTATTTATTTATTTATTTATTTATTTATTTTTTTGAACATTATTATTTGCGACATTTTGAAACTTAGTGTGCTTTTCTTGGTGTCCCCTTCCTCTTGGCATATTGCTGGCCCTTTGGGGGTAGAGAAATGTTCTCGAAAATTCCAAAAAAATAAATATTTTTTTTCTCTTCACAGTTTGTTTATTTATTCCTTTAATTCTTTTTATTATTTATTTCCTTTATTTTTATCTTGAAATTTCATCGTTTTTTTTTTTTTTTTCGCCCTCCCCTCCACGGTTGCTATTTTTTTTTTTTTGATTAGGTTGCCACTACCCTACCCTAACCACCCAAACTTCGGTATGTTTTTTTTTAGGGTTTTTCTAAGGTTTAGGGTTCTCCTAACCCCCATTCTCTCTCGCCTCCTCCTGTCGGGCACCCTGGACCCGAATGGCTGCTCCCCCCTTGAGTGGATTCACGCCATCATCTCACCCGCGACCCGAAGGTCATGGGGCGAGCCGATTCACGACTACCCACCCCGCTCCTAGGGTCCCCTCCCTCTCACCGGTGGTCCCCTATCCCCGCGCCTCAACCCATCTCCTTCCCCACCGCTTTCTCCACCTCCAGCCATGTCTACCTCCATGCGTCCACTACACATGGACGGGGCTACAATTGAGGAGATCGTCGTGGCGCCCTCCGTCTTTCAAACACCCACCCACTCGACAGTCCAGGGTCAGAACCCCGTGGACCCTATGGAACTTCACGTTGTTCTTGCGTCCCTCCTTGCACCTTTGCAAGCGCGACTCGAGACACTTGCCCTGAAGGGGCAAGTTAATGCGCTCGCCCTTAAAGTTCACCGCCTCAAGGGTTCTCCTCATCACTCTGCTCACCGCTCTCAAACTCCATCCCCTAACGACTCACAGTTCGACTCTCCACGACTCCAGACACGGAGACGTGGTGGTTCGTCCTCCTCCGTGGGTCAAGCCCATCACTCCCCCTCCGCAATGGTGAGTGTTGTTGCCGCTCAGACTATACCATTTGTTGCGGCCGACTCGTCGGCCCCTGCCGCCCCCTGCCGCTTCGGCCATTACCATCGGTGCTACTGTCCAGATACCGGTATCTAGCCAAGCAGTTTCACCCACCATCCCGATCTGGCTTCCTAGCTTTCCGCTTCGGTCTCGACACTACGGACCGGAGTCCCCCCTCCTCCCATCATCTCCTCACTCTCACCTCAGGGTTCCCCACAGTTCATTACTCCTCCCACTAGGGTACCCTTCCCGCCTCCTCCACCTCCGACCCCTTGGACCCAGCGAGTGGTTATCTTGCAGGCCACCATCGCGCAACTCCAGGCGGAGATTCTCACCTTGAGACAACCTCATCCTTCACAGGCTTCTCACCCTTCTTCTTCTTATACTGCCCCTCCCACATATGCCTTGCAACCTCGTCTCCCTTGACCTGCTCCTCCCCCTCTACCCACCTACCTCGCCACTCCATCCCAGCTGGCGGGGGCTGTGGCCTCCACCTCTGCTGGACCTTCCACCAGAAGCCTCGGCCCATAACCAGCCACCACATCCACCCCTGCACCGACCCCAACATTTGTTGTTGCAGTGTAGACCCATCAACCTCTCTCCCCCCTGCGGTCATCACAACGGTCCCACCCTTGTGTGTCTGTCAGATATACCCGACTACGATGGTACACTTCGTGTGTCGCACTTGTTGCAGGCTGCCACACGTGCGCTGTCGGGAGTTATGGTGCTCTATGCTCGCAACTAAATTGCGAGGCAACGCTGTCGAGCGCATCGATCCCGCACGGGGACCCTCCCGGTCGTGTCACGCAAGATTTTGCAGGACTTGTCGCGGAGAGCGCTTGTCGCGGAGAGCGCTTGCCGCTCCGGCCGAGTGTGCCAGCCGTACCTCTCGCGAGCCCATACGATAGGACAGGGTCACACGAGGCATCGCTTACCTCCACCTGCGGGAGCTGTCACCATCCCTTAGGTGGGTGTATCCCTGCCGAGCTACTGAACCATATGCGAAAGCTTTTCGTATGCAATTGCAGAGGTGGCCCAGCCGAGGGCGTTTCTCGTTCGCTGTAGCATAGGGGGTTACGCGCGGTCGAACGCCCGAAAATCGAACCCGCACGCGAATCGGTGTACTGGGGGGCTGAGGTCCCAAACGCGACTCGGCGCCGGTCGACTAGGACGCATCACACACACCACGCGTTACACGACAACACTCACATCTACCCACATATAACACATGGAAAAACACAAAACAAACACCTCAAACAACATCACAACACTCCTAGTCCCTTCAGTATCCGACCCATAACGTTATGCCGCGAGAATCAGATAGGTATCGCGCGCTGGTTTTTCGTATAAGAGTCGTGCGCGGGCATGGCCTCCTCATATTGACCAGCCATGGGGGAATTCGCAAGCACTCGCGCCAATGTGGTACTATGTAGTACTCGCAACCCCGTGGCCCTTGATAGTCTCGAGGGTCGTGTTCGACACTCAAGTATCGACTGACAAGCGCTTTGAGGGGTTACCTTCTCAGCGCTAGACAACCGCCATACGCGGTTGAGGACCACACCCTCTCGTGCACCCTGTGCAGAGGGGTTGAGTAGACAGCTTCAAGGCTGTCGTGGTAGCCAAACTCAAGGGGTTTGACTTTGACGACTACCACAGACTACAACGTCCAACTATGAAAACTTAAAAGAGGAGACAACTGCAGGCAGAAAAGGAGGATCGCCCCCTTCCCTTTCTCTGTCTAGCCCATAGCCCGATGACCGCCTCAAATGGAAGGGGTAGGCCAACGCGAAAGATGCGTGAGGATGATGCCCAAACTCAGATCCATAGGCAACCCGATGTTCGAAGCGTTGGAGGTTCATACGCGGGCCCCCATAGGCCGACTAGGGCTTATTCCCTCGCTCCCTCGTTGTTTCGCGATGCCGAAACTTGGGTCTACTGGCCATAACGTGCTTTTGCCCTCTTCGCTCGACCCATAACTTTCGAGCACGAAAATTGGTAAGTGTCGCGCCCGTGGGTTAACATAAAACCGTGCGGACGCAGGACCTACGCATACCGACCAACAATGCGGATTTGTGTAAGCAGTCGTGATGTCGGCGCACTATGTAGTGCCCATACCCGAGTGGTCTCGTCTGAGCCATGGGGTCGCTCTCGACGCTCAGGCGTTGGCTGAAGTGCGCGCTAAGGGGGGTAAACCTTTAGTGAGCGCAAAACCGGCTTGAGTGCCTTACCATCTTCTGCACCTTGAGGTGCCCCAAATGGTGCGGGGTAAGATGGTCCCTAGGACAGGAAGGAATTCGGAGCGGTGGTGAGTTGTCTGGCGCATCACCAGCGACACGCTAATCCTTCCGCCCGAAACTTTATCGTTCCACCAAAATAATTTTAAAACAAGGGAAAAGAAAAACAGTACTTGACGTTGGGAGGGAAAAATACGAACGCCCGCAAGACCGAGTGGTTGGGGGACAACCCCTCCTCCTTGCGGCGCTTCTGTTTCCACGGGACCGCAAGCCACTCAACTTCCTGGACAAGGACGTTGAACTCCCGGCCTGGGACTAACGTCCGACCAGGTAAAATCTTTAAGTAGGGGAAAACGTAAGCGTGAGGTCGCATAGCCTTTTGAGGGTTACTCGAGCGTACACTTACTCTGACTATCACATTATCAAGATAGGAAGAGAACAATCTCACTCAAACAAAGGTTGCGGGGTAGTTCACTCTCACGATAGTTGTGTGGATTGCCCATCTGAATCCAAAACATAATCGTTCTACATGACTCAATGAAGATTCTTCCATACATACCTGCAGTCATACGCACAACATTCAAACAACATCGCACACGCTACATGGGTCAACCTTCCAGCCTTCTGCTGCTCACACCCTGCCTTATGCACACAAACCCATCCATTTCCCCACCAATCCTCAACAAAAATACTCAGTCCTTAAGAAATGGCCATTTATAAAGAAGCTGGGTGAAAACCCAAAGAAACACATAAATCCCGGCAAGGGCCAAGGCCTTAGGTTGAGAGGCAGGAGAAATGAGAGAGTTGAGTCGTGAACCGACGAATCGGCAACTGACCTGTTATCTGGGATAACAGAAGAGTGATCCTTTTGAAGGACTAGGCTGATCAAATTAAGCCTTCAGGCGAAATACGGAAACCTGCATCACAGTACAAGCCAAAAGGGAACACTACTGTTTTTATGCCAAGAACACTCCCTAAGTCGTAACCTAGCTCCTCTACTAGTACCAAGCCACTGAACACCTCCTCTATCCAGTATAGATCTGCTAGGTAGCCCCTAGCTGAGAGATATTCTAACTCCTCAAATTCTACGAAATTTCGGCAGGGCTTCCCGTAGAAAAAGTGCCTTTTCAGAATTTGTATGAGCCCAAAAATGACTAACTCTTTCAGTCTTTCGAATTTGCAGAAATTTCGGCAGCGCTTCCCGTAGGGACAGGAGACTGTCAAGATTTATACAAAGTTGAAAGACAGAAAGACAAAGCAAACTATACTTGGGACTATCTTCGGATACCTGCTTGACGACTCAGAATGAATGATAGCCCGCACAACCTCTTGATGAGAGTGTGGCTAACCCTGATCCTAACTCTTATCAGGGTCAGTCCTATCTTCATCCCAAGTTCTCCCTCCCATCATCCATCTCATCTACCTATGGCTCCAACACTTGGCGAGCACTTAAAGCAGCTAGCCTATCGAAACAAATGCCCCAGAGTGAGAGCCCACAAGCATGCATAGACAAACATCTCTCACAATCCTACATAAGTTTGGCCCAAATAGTTCGTTAGATCACTCAACTTTTTTTCCCTTAGTAGACCCCCTTACCTATGGCATAGGATCAGACAAGGCCCTAACTTAAGGGTATGTCTAACCTTCCTATGTAACCAAGTAAAAGTACATACAACTGGACTACCCTAACTTAAGGGTATGCCCGACACCACATGGACTTTAGTCATAAAACATATGAGCAGACCGCCCTAACCTAAGGGTATGCCTGACTTCTGCTTAACTGATGACATGAAGCATAAACTAGACTGCTCTAACTTAAGAGTATGCTTAGTCAGCTCATAGACAAGGTTGCATAGGGCATAGGATTAGGCTGCCCCAACTTAGGGGTGTGCCTAACCTGCCTAAAACAAACACGAACGACGAATGGTCAGACCGCCCTAACTTAAGGGTACGCCCAACCTACATAACATCAACGACAAGAGCATATCACTAGGCCGCCCTAACTTAAGCGTACGCCTAGCTAGCTTAAATAGGTTTAGGTACATAAGACAATATGACCAGGCCGCCGTAACTTAAGGGTACGCCTGACCTGCCTGAACAAAGTACAAACCACAAATGACTAAGCCGCCATAACTTAAGGGTACGCTTAGCCTCCGTAACGACAATATAAGAGAACAATCATTGATGTACTTGCACAAACTTTATATGTTCCTCTCTTATTAGGCAGATGATCAGACCTACCCTACTTAGGGAGACATCCAATCCTGCCTTGTGTTTAGAAGGGGAAATAAAAGAAGATTTATACTAACTCTCTGCGCCTTTGTATTATTACGAGCATAGGACTGAACCGCCCTAACTTAAGGGTACGCTCAGTCTGCCCGGGTTACCTTCATTACATTCTTCACTTATCTCTCTTCTCTTTTTGTTCTACCTGACTTATTGACTGACTTTCCCAACTTAGGGTGCCCGGTCTACCAGATGATATAAGTTCGTATAATATATATCAACAATATATACTTTGGTTGACCATTTTTGTCATGGCTTATGACTGAGCCGCCCTAACTTAAGGGTACGCTCAACCTCATGCCCTTGTCCCCCTCAGAAGAAAACATACGCAGAACTGGGTCCACGCAACTTAGAATATTCCCAGCTCTGCGTTCAGCAACCCAAAAAGAGAAACATCAGGGTTTTGAACCTTCCCAACTTAGGGTGCCCATCCTTCTGCTCAGAAACCCCAGAAAGAAACAGCGACTGGTCCGTCCAACTTAGGATAGGCCCAGCCCAAAAGATCATACAGTCAACCCAACAAACATAAATAAAACATAGCACTGAACCCATATCAACTTAGAGGAGCTCAGCCTTGGGTTGGCCTAGTCAAACACATGCAAACACCTTCATCCCACCTTTCCCCAGTTCATTTTGTCTGAGTTCACTCAAATGTTTATCTGAACTCTCATATGTACTTGTTCATTTAGGTTTCCACCAAACATGTCCTGACATACATAACAAGGTAGAAGTAATAACCTGTCATAGAAGTATTCAGATACCCAGGGGAATAACAATTAGGGGAAGGGATCACACGCGTCAGACAAAATTATACCTGAAGTTCCCTGCCTCCAGAACCCCCGCCTGGGCTCCGGCAGAGCTCCCGCAATCGGTGGGTGGACCTCCTACAAGGTCTTGATGCGGACCTACAGGTTGCAATCCCGCCTGCTGCCTTCCTCTCGTAGCCTCAGACTAGACTTAGAGGAAGAAGGATAGAGGTAGAAAGTTCAGACTCTCGAGATCCAAGAGAGGTGCGCTCAGACTCACGGGAGAGGGCCTTGTTGTCTTGATTCGCCTGAGGACCCAGCAATGGTGGCCACTAATGCAGCAGGAGTGGCCAAGTCTCGACCAGAACGCAGAATACCAGTCCCTGGACACCCTCCTTAGTCGCAGCAATGACCCCGCCGTAAGAAAACAGGAATGACGCACAACAATGGCGCTCAATAATGGTGTACAACAATGAGCAGTGCTCTGCACAACAGCAGCGCCGAACAGTACCCAGCACTGCGGCAACGTTCAGAATAGTGCACAGCATAGCAATAACCCGCAACAGCATAGGTAACTAATCCACTATAGCAGCTAGAGCAATTCTGCAGTCCTCAACACCTGAAAGCCATAGTCCCCCATAGCAGCAACTTGTTACTGCTGCACGCAAACGGCTGCACCCTTGAGTGAATTTAGCAAGCCGACAGTACAGTCCGACCCAGCAGCGCCAGACAACAACAGTCCGTTGTTATCTGAGCCACAACATCAAGCCACAACAGCAATAGCCTCCTGGTCACACGACATAGGTGCCATCAGAACTAGTCCAAGCTGCAACTACACGACCTTGTAACTGCATTCAGATTGCGTACACCCCTGCGCCGTACTCAAACTGCCAGCAAGAACCTCAATAGTACTTAGTCAGGCAGTCGTGTACGTAGCAGCCTGCGCACTTGTTACGGCAGTTCAAGCAAGGTAGTATTACCCATCATCCGCCCTTCGGCGATGATGTGCAGTGCCATCCAACTGACAGGCGCCTCGAACACTCAGCCTGACCCAGTAGTTGAACACAGCGAGGACTAGCGTTGTACAACACTCGAATACTATCCAACTTACTACCCTTTTAACACACAGTAAAACACAGCAGGTCTTGGCAAGATACACAGTGGAGGTACACAAGGGTCGGTGCGCCCATCTGCACGACATAGAGTGGAATACAGCGCGCTCGGCCTGATGTACAACGTAACCCAGTATGGGCTGCAAGTGCTTAATAAGTGCTTAGTTGCAACTTGGCCATGCACACTAGCAATACACAGCTCGACACGTAGGGGGGCCCGTAACACTGTGCATGGCAGACCTTGCCATAGTGGAGTGTCACCTGTATAGTCAAGATAGCGCCCACCAATAATGCTATCCTGATAATGCTGCGTATGCGGCGTAGCACCTGCTCCTTGAGTATGGTCAGTGGATTCTGCCCAGAGCCGGCCCGGTACTGCTTTAAGGTAGAAACAATGAGGCTTGCTTGAATAGCAGCCAGCCACTCCAGCAAACGCCGAAGCGAGGATGAGCAGCCGCTGCAGGCCCCTGACTGTGCTCACCAATCGTGCAAAAAAAATAAAAAATATGAGAAAAGACCCCTTACAGAACTCGGCCAGATATCATGCACTTCTTCCACAAATCCGTGTGCAGTTTCAATTGACCAGGTAACCTCCCTCTTTCTGCCGTTCACACACTCTCCCCGTCAGTCCTCACCCCACTTCTTTCACTCTCTCTGTCTGATCCCAGTATAAGAATGCACCCGGTTGACCGTACCACCAGGTCCCTTCAAAGAAGATCCCAGAGACGAATCCCTTCGGTATGACGAAATACTACGACCAACGCGGTGTCGACGGCGATAATGGGCAGCACCGCAGGCACAACCACTATGCACGAGGACGGTCGACCCAACGATTACCCGATTGTGACGACGATCCAGGTGAGCAGTACAAACTGAGACATGAACGCAACCGCCGGGGCTGAGATAGGGATGAGGATGGGTCCGCTAGTCCAGATGGATGCTAGCACAAAACACTATGATTACTGGGGTCGCGACGACAAGCAACAGCCAGGCGACCCTGAGGACGATCTCGCCAGCATGCATGAAAGTCGGTGGCCCGATCACCGTGAGCATAATCACCACACCAGCCAAAAATGTGAATGCCCTTTCCTCTAGAATATGACCGGATACACTTCCCTCAATAGGACGAGTATTTCACCGGTCACATGGAAGCCCTCCATCTGCGCAGCTGCCGATACTCCACGCTACGTACCAACTCGAAAGGGCCTTCGGCTAGGAGGTGGTCAGATTCCTTGGCCTGATTTAGGCGGAATGCGAGTAACAGGACCTTTCGTTGCAATCGCAACAACTAGAAATCCTTGCGACGAGCAGGTGACCACCGCCAGTTGCAAGGATAGCGTTGCCCGACTACGAGGATCTTAAGGACGAGAGATACGCATACACAGGCCTCGACGTCACTTTACCACAGAGTCTTCTCTTTCCCCGTCGCCTCTCCCATTGATCTCCCCCTCTCTCTTGCTTCCGTTGGCTATCGGCTATCGCTCAGCGCATCTGGCCGATACCTCTGCCAGGTTCACACCGTCTCTCAAACGCGCATACGAGGGCGGCAACCAACATATTTACGAAGGAGAAGATTCGCCCCGACCTGAACATGGCCAGCTGTCACGCCAGGTAAGTGCCACTCGCTAGTGTATACGCCTACCAGCCCCTTCGATGCGCCTGGCCCAGATAAAGGTCCGGCTCCTTCTAACTCCTCCGTAGCAGCTCCTCCAGTGATGATAGTTACATTGAGCACCAGTGCGACCTTCTCCGACAAGTGCACCAACTGGGAGAGAGATGGGTCCTTCGCTGGAAAGTAGAGGAACGCCTTCTGTCGAGGACTGCTACTGAAAGGCAAGCATCCCGCTTCCTTGCGCCATAGCTCTCCTCCTCGACATCTCGGCACACACCCTTTCCTTACTAACTTCTTCCTTTACTAATTTTTACTACTTCCTACCTCACAATCGGTGTCGCCTGCCTTGAAACCGCCACTTTGCATCTGAGTTTGTCAACAATGGCCAAAAAATGGCTGAATAATTCGATTCTTACTCCCGCCTTTCCCTCCGTCGCCACCTTCGACCGCTCCGCGCTCCCTGTTTCTCCTTCTCTTCTTCTTCTTCTACTAACTCTTTACCTTATCTAACTACCAACTCGAGGTCGCCCACCTCAGATACCCCTGCTTAGCTTCTTTCCCATATGTCTTCATCGAGAAACGAGTGAAAAACCCTGTTTCACACTCCCTCCATATCTGCACGTCCCGTACCTTCGCGCAGTTCTTCTGCCTACTAACTCCTACCACTCTATCTTTCGTGCTAATCTGCCTCCGGATTCGAATCCGCCTACCTCTAAACCTCCACCTTGCTTCTTCTCGCGCCTGATTCCGTCAAGGATCGGGTAGGCTACGAACGTTTTCCTCTACCATACTGTTCTTACACCATCTCCCCCGTTTGGACGTATCTGGCGCAAATCAGCGCCAGATTCATTCCCCTTTTAGTATTTATGTGCTCCCTTCGCCTAGTCGCCCCTTTCCGCCAATCTCCCTACCAGTACCAACCCACGCGCCAACCCAGACAGCACACAAGGTATCGATGGATACGGACGGCAGAACGGTGGTTACAGAAGTCGAGCTCCGCTAGGGAGTGTGCAGCAGTCAAACGAGGAAGTCGGGGCTCTCCTGCTTTTATGCATGTCATCCTTGCGCAGGGGCCATGCTAATCGCCTCTGTATCGTTCCCATTTTAACGGATGTCCCGAAGGACTGATGAGGACTCCCACGGTGGGCTGCATTTGGCTCAGATCCGTAGCCGGATCTGTATTTCAGCCATTCGATGGGGTGCCCACTGAGCTAAGCCCCTGGGTCACGGCCGGTCCCGGAGATCGGCGTCGAACAGCATCCCGAGATGGGATAAAAATAACGAATAAGAAAGAAGAGAAATAATAAAAAGATAAATATAATTTTAGAAGGATTGAAAGGGGAGGGGAACCATCGGCGACTGGTCCTCGGCCCTGCCTCGCGGGCCCGCTGCCGGACTCCCCAGCAAAACCAAGGGGGATAGTCTCCCAGGACCCTCAACCCCCCAATCTGCTCCAAAGCGCTTCTCCGCTGCTCCACTGCTTGCTGCTGGCCTCGATCCCAAGATTCGCCTGGTCACATTTCAGTGACGTTACCTATAGGGCTAAGCCCCAGCCTGGTTGTAGCAGGCCTAGTTCTCTATATAAAGAGTACCTGCAGCCTGCCCATCCCTTCAAAGAGGTACCAAGGCCACAACATGGCCTACTCCCCAACTCCATGGTCTTGTAACGCCGTGCTCTGCTGCCTCGAGGGTAAGGCTTCACTTGGCTAACCATGGGCGCCGCCTCACCATGCCGCGGCCGCCGCCCAAGGCTCTTATGGCCTACCGCGACCGCCCTCTAACCGCCTTTTTGCCGGCAAACCCCGACTTTCGCTCTAGTTTGTGCCGTTCCCAACGGCGGCTCCTATTATTGACGAGGCATGGTCAACCTAGTGTCTGCGAAGATTTTACACCGCGCCGCTCTGAACGTCGGCCTCTAGTAAGTCAGACAACATCCTCCTCCAGTCACAGCCTTACCTGGTCAACGCGACGTTGCCTGTAACTTCGCCCGTGTGTG